AGAGAGAAGAGAGAGAGAGAGAGAGAGAGAGAGAGAGAGAGAGAGAGAGAGAGAGAGAGAGAGAGAGGAGAGAGAGAGAGAGAGAGAGAGACGAGCAGAGGAGAGAGAGACCCGAGAGCGAGTGACTTGAATACGATTGGGCGCGGTTAACTCGAGTTCAGTCCATCAGAAGGGCAGGAGCGGTACACTTCCGGCCTTTGTTTTCTTGAAAAAAAGAGTAGTTAGGGGTCCCATAACAAATACTGTGCTAATTTGGGGCTAATACACATGGGCCGAAATACGATGGGGCTTGTCACATGAAGTTCCCACTTTTGGGGCCTGGACACAATTTTCCCTAGATTTTTACTACTAGAAATGTTTTTTTATAATTTTGAAAAATGAAACTAGCACACCATAAGCCTATGTTCGGGTTAGGTTCAAACAGGTTTTGCCTTCAACCCGGTTCGGTTCACAGCTTACTTCAAAAGAGCCGTATTTAATTGCCTGAGAAAAGAGGTTTCTTTTCCTTAAAAAAAAGGGTACCTTCAATCGTGGAACGCTATTTTTTGTGAAGCTTCAATTGTTGGTTTTCTATCTAGCTTCGCTTCGCTTACTTGTACAACTAAACGTTAAACTCTTTTCGAAGAAGCAACAGGACTAGAAAGGGGATTCTCCTTCTCTTCTCAATGGTTTCTTATTATTAAGGCTTTCAGAAAAACGACACTCGAGGTTTGTTCTTTCAATTTCTATGGATTTTCCCCTCGTTTTATTATGTTAATTTGAGTTGGGTCTTTTATTTAGTTTCATTTTTTATTTTATCAGTTGAGATTGGAGATGGGTTTTGTTGAATGGAAAGGAATCATGGGTTTGATTACATATATGATGTAGTTTTGGTGGGGAAAATGTTTCTTTGGGATCATAGGTTTGAACATTGATAAAGTTCAGGATCGATAGAAAGGAAAATTCAGGGTTCCAGTTTAAAACCCATTTAAAATTTCACTTTTGACGACGTAATTTTTGGTTGTGAAGAGGAATTTGTATAAAACTGTCGAAATTGAAGGTTTTGATGGTGTGTATTATGTGTTTTCAAGGGGAAATGCTTTTCTGAGATGTTTATATTCACAGGAATTTACTTTCTAAAGTGGCTAAAATTCAATATCATATTTTTGAGTTCTTTAAAAAAAGTCTACCGTGCACATTAATTCATGTAATTACTACAAATTGGTATATATTTTCATCAAGCCACCTTGTTTTTTCAGAAAACTGTCATGGATGTTGTAGTTATGTTAACCAAAAGAATGAAGGCATGTTTTTTGAAAGATTCCAAGTTTCATGGTACATTCTTGAAGATTGGCCTTGTAAAATGCTTGGATTCGAGTAAGTTACAAGTTACAAGAAACTACTTCCAACTTCAATAGGAATCTGTTTTACGAAATTCAACTACAGTATTTCAATGGAAACCCTTCTTTTGTTTTACGCTTGTATACCTCCTGTCATGTGCTACTGTGAATTATCCATGTGAATGTCATTTGACCTTTATGCGTATTTATATCTATAAGTTTGTTGGGAATTTTAGTCCCTCCGAGTACTACGATCTCCGCAACTCGGAAGCTAACCCGCTATCAATAAGATAGAAAACGACCACAATCAATAAAAAAGAACACCGAGATTTATGTGGTTCGGTCGACCAACTTCGACCTACATCCAGGGGGCAATAGTACGAGAAATCCATTATGTATCAGAGAGAACGATAAGAGGAACCACTCAACTCTCGTCTCTCAATCTCTCAACCTCACATACATAATCAACTCTTATATTCTTCCCAAAACCCACTCCTTACAATCTTTTGAACGGACAAACACTGTGAAACCATCTCCTAATGTTGTAATTTTTTACACCGATAAAGACCACGAAACCCTCTCCTCTTGCACAATATTCTTGAATCAGGTTATGTCCTCTGCTAACCGTAGATTATAAGAATATTGGCTCTCTCCCTTCTCCTTAGTTTTTCCTCTTACAATAGAAGAATATATATATATATATATATATATATATATATATATATATGAAAACCAAAACTCAATCTCTAGCCTAACTTCCTAACTAGAATAAGATTCAAACTCCTAATTATGATGAAACTCAATCTTCTAATCATGATAGATCTCCGTCCCTGTCTAATTCTTGTGAAGTTATACAAAGAAATGAAAGAATCAAAAACACTATCTCAACAAAGTTTTGATGCCAGGACAATGAACTGTTCATTCTACTTGAACAAAAAAAAAGATGGTTGTGTGCATCAACTAACTAAGGTCAATATGAGCTGCTCTCTTGCATAAGGGCTAAAGCTGGATGTAGTTTCAACTTTCAATCAAATGGCGGAAAAGTTTGATGGGAGCAAGCATCACTTTATTGGTACAAAAAAATTTTGTTTCGATTAAAAATTGGGTGGTGTGGACTGTATTTAAATTGGAAAATCAATATAATTATTCAAGGGTTCTAGTTTTAGTAGATCCGCAATAAGTGTGAAGATGCAACAAGAATCCTTTTAATTTATGGTGAATAATGGCTAGTGAAATAACATCTGTCTGCTACTTTTTTTTGTGCTAAGTTTCACATTATTGATTTTTTTTCTTGACATCTATTTTATCATTTTGACTCCCATCTTGTTCTGTGCGAGCCTCAATTTTTTTTCCTTTTCTTATTCAGTGCTTAAATTTCCACGTTGCAACTACTAACCATTTATAGCATGATATCCGCATCTATGTGCTGCTCTTAATGTGCTTGGTGATGTGCATTATGGATAGGTAATGTCAACATATTCGGCAACCACAAATTCAGAATCTGATTTTTCACAGCAGAAAATTATACATTATACGACCCCAAAGACTTCTTTCTTGTCTGGTTTCTTTGCATCAACCTTCATCATATTTGAGTCATACGTTGGTTCTTTTTGGGGAGGAAAAAGGGAAACTAATCCTTGGAGGTATAAATGGACAACAGCAGTGTATAAAATTTTGTATGCTGGCTCGGTTCAGAGACTGCAAGGGCTAATGTCATGGACGAGAAAACCTGATGTTTTGAACACAACCAGTGACATATGGCTTTTGGGCATATGCTATAAAGTTATACCTGAGGAGTCAACACATACTGATAGAGGACTGGCAGCATTTTCCCATGATTTCTCATCGAGAATCTGGATGACATATAGAAGTGGTTAGTTTTAAATGAATACTCTTTTCCATTGCTAAAACAGGTATCCCCATTGGTGTTAGACACTTACTAAGATCTATTCTGTAGGTTTTGATGCTATTTCTGACTCAAAATTCACAAATGATGTTCATTGGGGGTGCATGATCAGAAGCAGCCAGATGCTTGTTGCCGAGGTATTTTTCTGGTAATCTGGCTTAGTTCACATTCTTTTATGCTTTAAGTAGTATTCGTGGTCACCTCTTGATGTTGAAAAAACCACCACCTCAATATTTTGCAGGCATTGGTTTTTCATCATTTAGGAAGATCATGGAGGAGGCCCCTTCAGAAGGTCAGTGGATGAAGCATCACATAACATCATATTCACAAGGTTTAATTGTGGATAGACCCCCTGTACCATTGTCAATCGTGGGTAAACCCCTCGAGTGGTTTTTTGACTCTTTTACCCTCAGGAGATCAGTTTGTCAAAAAAAATTCTTTGAGGGTAGAGGAATAAAGAAAGTTCACTCTGGGGACTATCTACTACAATAGAGCTATAGGGTCTACCTGCAATTGGTGATGGTACAGGGGTCCATCCATATTTAACCCTATTCACAAATGTCTTTGATTGCAAGATGATAAGCTAATAACTTGCTTAATGTATAGAAGGTAATGAAGTTTTATGTTATTCTGCTCTGTAGGGTCTGCTTCTGATGGTTCCCTGTTAATTATGCAGCCTTATGATCCACAATACATTGATATTTTACATCTTTTCGGTGATTCTGTGGCATCTGCTTTCTCCATACACAATCTTCTTCAAGCAGGAAGGGCTTATGGCTTAGCTGCTGGCTCTTGGGTTGGTCCTTATGCAATTTGCCGAACATGGGAAGCTTTTGCAAGTGAGAATAATAAGCAAGGTGACCTTGTCAATCGGAAAGTAATTTTCCCCATGACGATATATGTTGTTTCTGATAATGAAAATGGAGAACAAGGTGGAGCCCCTGTCATCTGCATCGAAAGAATTGTGAAACTTTGTCATGAAATTAGCAAGGGCGAGATCACTTGGTCACCGGTTCTTTTACTGATCCCTTTGGTTCTTGGACTGGAAAAAGTCGATCCCAGGTAACTATTTAAATGGTTACTCGAACTACTTTAAAAGTGCTTTGTTTAGTTAAAGACAAGGTCATTGCATGATGCTAGTACAATAACCTGTGGCTAGGTAGAGAGTGGAGAACATTTCTTAAAAAATACTGGTGACTATTAAAAGTCCAATTATCAGTCGGTTGCGTATGTAGATACTTTCCTGAACTAGTCATGGTTAAACATTTATGACCAAAATTTACCAAGATGGGAGCATTCGTGGATTCAGTAGATCTCAACTTGTTGGAAGGTTAACCTATATGCTCTCAAGTGTTATTTCCTTTATTATTCACTGTGATATTTAATTAAGTCTCCCATATCTCTATTAAAAGACACATTATTAGATTCCTATGCATTAAAGAGAACTGCAATGTATCCAAAATTCATGGTGTAATCAGGCCTCTATTAAGACATCACTTTTAAGTAGAACGAAATTAGATTAAACTAATTCAACTTCTGGAATGTTGTTTTTGATCAACCTATCTATTTCTTTCTTTCTTGATTTGACTAGTTAGAGCATCTCCAACAGTTTTCCCAAAAAATTCTTCAAAATGGGGAAGCAAAAGTCATATTCTCCAAATTATTTTTGCTCCAACTCCAACAGCTTCTCCATTTTGAAGAATCCTGCATTTTTTACAATAATAAAAATATTCTACATCCCTATTTTAGGATGCTTTTATGCATTGGAACTACCCCATGGCTTTTTTTATAATTACAAATTTTGTTTTGTATTTATTTTCTCCTCCATCCCGTTTTGAAGAACGTGTTGCATTTATGACAAATCTCTTCCCAAAAATTTGAAGAATACCCCAGATTTGGGGAAGACTCCCCTTTTTTCTCCTCCATCTCTATTTTGGGGAATGAGATGGGGAATCTGTTGGAACAAAAAAAGCCCAAAATTCTCCAAAAGTGAGAATACCAATAAAATGGGGAAGTTGTTAGAGATGCTCTTATAGAATATGTTCATGTCTGACGAGCTGTACCCTTAAATACTTCTAATGGCATTGTATATCAGGTACTTCCCTTCATTAAGGGATACATTCACATTTCCGCAGAGTTTGGGGATATTAGGTGGCAAGCCGGGAGCGTCAACATATATTGTTGGTGTTCAAGATGAGAAAGCATTATACCTGGATCCTCATGAAGTCCAATCGGTATTTGATATTTATATGGAGTGTTGATTTTCTTTATCGATTACCTTTTGTAGTAATGTTTTCATGATGATTTTAACTATTGTTTCGTCCCCGTAGTTGGATAAATTAACTTCTATAACTCTGTTACAATCATATTATACACACAAATGTAGATGGTGGTGTCCGCGCACGCGTGTGTGTATGTGTGTAAAAATGGGTATTTGATAGCAACTTATTTTGCTAAATGAGCTACCAACAGTGAGGCCAATTCTGCTAGTCAAATCAAAAGGTGACAACTCATTTGGAGCTGCCAAGAGTGAGGAACTTACACTTATACATCTTAGTGGTCATTTTACTAATTGAGGCGGCGACTCATTTTTTCAGTATATCATATACACACGCAAATAGGAATTTATATAATAAATATGGAAACTCAATATTTACTAAACTGAGTTAGTCAACCGTTATTCGCACCAACCACTCTTACTTTGGCTTCTAAATAAATCAAAGCTCATGGCTTGGCGCTAAGATGTTAGTTGCTAAGTTTGAAACCTGATAAAGTCAGCTGTCATTCGCATCAAAATCTGAAACCTGCCTGTTGCTTTATAAGTTATATAGCAGTAGATTTTCAAGCACTTGTTTTCCTTTTTGTTATCATTAATCTATTTACAGTTCATATATTGCATTGTTTCTTGGCTTCCTGAAAATCTTTTCTGCATTACTTACTAATGTATGAAGGTATGTGTGAATGGTGAACCAATCTCACTGCATTCTCTTTCATTACAGGCCATTGACATCAGAAAGCAGGATGTGGAGGCCGATACTTCTTCGTATCACTGCAAGTATGTTTCATCCTTTTTTTTTTCCTTTATGTATTTCCAATTTCGACTGACAAGAAGTTATCAATTGTTATCTGTTCATTTAATTTTCTTCATACTGTATTTTATACCTCCAGCATTGTACGCCACTTGCCCCTCGACCAAATGGACTCATCTCTAGCTATAGGATTCTATTGTCGCGACAAAGGTGTGTTCTCTTTCCATTTTCATCTGACAGCCGAGCCTCATTATTTTCAGTCTGAACTTGTTAATTTTATTTCGGTAAGTGATTCACAGGTGATTTTGAAGACTTCTGCTCCAGAGCTTCTGAGTTGAGAGAGAGAACGTCAGGAGCACCGTTGTTCACAGTTGCTCAGTCTCTTCAATCAAACAAAACTCGCTTCCCTAAAATTACTGTTGGTAACAGTCAAAATGGCATAGTAGATGACAACAACATGAAGGAGGCCTATGGCATAGAGAATGGGAGTCCCTCTGGAGCAAATGTTGATGAAGGTGAGTGGCAGATCCTGTGAATGAAGGATTTAAAGGAGTTTGATTATATTCAGTATTTGCCATAATCCATAACCATCAACTTAAGACCCCCATTCGTTTCTTCAACTACATGATTCATGAATGATTTGCCTTTTTTTTTTAATTTCTTCTTTTGATTGTATTCATTCTTGTAATTAAGCGGGGCTGTTGTATTGTGTCTAGATCAAGGCCAAGCCAGCCCACAGCTTCAGGTGTATATTTTTATATGTAGAAGGTAGCTGTCTGCTAATTTGATTTAAAATAAACTTATGATGCTGATAGTGCATGACTTGTAGCACCAGAATTTTTGCTGGATACCAGGTATACTAGCTATGCAGCGAATCTTTGTTTTTTTTTCCCTCTCCTTTTTTTTCCCCTCCAAGAAAAGCCTGTGTCTGGACTTGATTGTAAATAATTACTTAAATAATTACTTATTTACAGAGATAATGAAAACATGGAATGGGAAGATGAGAATAAACTAGAACTTTGTATGAAGAAAATCTTGATTAATGAACGTACGCATCTCAATTTAGGGGTGTCCTTCGCATTGTCAATTTTGGACATTTGAATGTTTTGATGCATGTTTGTTACCTGGGAAACTATGAAAACAGCCGCAGTAATAATTTGCAAAATAGCATGTATAAATTGCAGGGATAGGAGCTGTCACGTAATAAGGTGAAATTATAAATCTATATATGCGAACCTTTTTTTTTTTGTATTTTTTGTATTTTTTTTTGACGGTTTTTATGTGGACCTTGATCTCTGCCTCATTCCTCGGATGCTCTATTTTGCTTGGTACTTGATGGTCCCTGGAGCAATTACCAAAGAAATATTAGTATTGTGCTGTCTGGCTTTTCTATAATAAAGACGGACCTGAGCTGGCCCGTATGGATTGCTCTACCAAACTTATATTTACAATTATAATACGTTGAGCACTCATATGTTGTACAATTTATATGTATGGACTCTTAATCAAGTTGGTATAATATAATCTCGACCTCTATCTTCTCTTGAAAGCTCGTTGTTGGTTGCCCATGTGATACGCTGCAGTTACATCATTTATCACATTGAGAATTATTATAAGCTTCAAAACCTCAGGAAATTTGATTTGATTTTCTTTTTTTCTTCTTTTTTTTTAAAAAAAAATCTGCAAGCTCGATGCACAACTACTAGAACTTGTAGCTTACATAGGAATATGGAGTTACACAAATTCAGAAAAAAATAATCGTTTCTCACAAAGAATTAGATTAGTTAAATCATCTGTTAATATTATTATTCAAGAACCTTTCTTAAAAATTTTAAGATGAGATTTAAATAATTATTTAAAAAAAATGTGAAAACAATCCTTGAACTCTCGAATGTCTTTGGAAGTTTGACGGATTATTATGAACACGCCAATAAAAGATTAGGAAAGGGCTTCCAAAGATCAACCTCTAAAAAGTAATGTATAATTACGCAGCAATTTCTGTTCATCCCCCATCTTAAAATAGCAAGGTATTTAAGCAGAAATACTTTAATTTTTCTCGTTATTCTGAAATCATTATTAACGCTAATTATAGTAATAGTCGGTTCCAGCTGGGTTGACACAGAAAAATATATTCATAAAGTCCGAAAGCAAAAACGCGTATAAGTAAATAATTCTTTTGAGGGACTTGAACAGCACCACAAGTTTTGGGGCCCACTTCTGCTAGTGGGAAGGTAAAGGCGTGAAAAAGTCGCATATTTGCGGGTCCCACGTAGGGTACAATTTTGGGTGAGTTTCTTGAGAGGAAAACGGGTCTTTAATTCCGGTCCAGCGCCAACCTGGTCTCTAGGAATTTAATTTTTGCCAGCCATCAGATAAGACGCGGACCCGTGTGTTTGGTTGTAGTCACCTCTGGACTCATTTACTCTTGCGATATTTTGTAGTTTGGTTCTCCTCTATTTTGTTTTTGCAGAAAGGGAAGCCTTCGAGCTAGTTACTTGCAAAATGAATTATCTTGCACTTATATAAATAAAGGTTGTGACTGAGGAGTTTTATTTCCACATTTTTTATAAGATTCAAACGGTGAGATCAGAAGCTTTTGATGATAGAGCTTTTTGTTTATTCCTTTTAAGAAATGAACTTCTAGATGAGAATAAAATTGGCGGTTTGTTTGATATGATCGAGTATTATTAAGATCCTATAAGAAAGCCAAGTGAATAACAGAAAATTAGAGTCATTAGACGCATCAACTACAACGAAATTAAAAACTTCTCTCATCATGGAAATTTTTTGATTTGATTTCCTAACACACTTTGAGCTGTAACAGAGAGATCATATTTATACTCTCGCGTCCCCTTCAATTATCCAAAAACGACCTCATCACACTATAAAAACATCAGAATTTTTCTGAGTTCGTGTTTATCTCGACAGAACACCCACAACAACACAAATAATAAATTCAAGGTCCCCCACGCTCCTCAACTAATAAACAAACACAAAACATAAATACGGGAGGGCATATGTGGAAAACCTCTCTATTCCCTATAATCATCAGACTAGTAGTAGTAATCTGAAAGAAAAATCCATATATAAAAACCAAGAAAAGAGGCCAAAACCCAATAAGATCATACACGCTCATTAATTTACTCCCCTCCCCTCCACCAAACCCTCAACCTCAATGTCGCCATCCCCGCTCTTCTTCCTTCTTCTGTTCTCCCCGCTCCTCTCCGGCCGCCGGACGCCCGACGTTCCCACCCGCGTCGTTCCGTCATACCTCTCCCGGGCGTGCGCGGGGTCCCCGACCATCCACATCGCCATGACCCTCGACGGGCGACCTTACCTCCGGGGCTTCCCTCGCCTCGCGTTCCTGCTCGTCCTCCAGCACTCCTCCTGCCCCAGAACATCCGCTTCACTTCCTCTCCCTCTCCCTCCCACACCTCCGCCGCACCCTCCTCTCCGTCTTCCCCTCCCTCCCCTTTCTCCATCTTATCCGCTTTCGACCCCTCCCTCTCCGCTTCCAAGATTCTCCTCCTCCGTCCGCCCGCCCTCAACCAGCCCCTCAACTACCCCGCATTTACCTCGCCGAATCCTCCCCCCACTCCGTCTCCCGCGTCATCTACTTCAGACTCCGACCCTCATCGTCCGTCGACGACGTGTCCCGCCTCTGCGTCCATCCCAGCAACCCTCCGTCCTCGCCGCCCCGCAGTTACTGCACGCCAACTTACACCTCCTACTTCACCCCCAGCTTCTTGGTCCACCCGCACCTACCCCGCCCCTTCGAGTCGAGCGATGCGGAGGCCCCCTGCCTACTTCAACACGGGGCGTCATTGGTGATGCGACCTCGCCAGGGTGGAGCGGGCGGTACACCGCAGTGAGGCTCGAGGCGTGGACATATGCGGGTCCAGAAGCGGCGTACTACAGATCTACGTAGCTCGGCGGTCGCTCCCGCCCTTTCCTGCTGTCGTGTTCGCCGGCGAGGCTGGAGCGGTCGAGCAGCAGGTGGAACCAGCACGGCCTCGGCGGGAACAATGTGGAGGGCCTGTGCAGGATCTGCACGCGGGGCCGTAGTGAAGCTGCTCTCACTGGAGCAAGGGAAAGGGGAAGCCGTGCTGAGTCTGGACAAGGGAGAGGCCTGCCCCTCGATCACCTGTAGGCAAGCCTTACGACCTGCTGAGCCGAGGCAAATAGGTCAGCTGTTTCGCTGACAGGGGAGGTGGCGCGGCGCGGCGTTTTGATTGGCGGCGATGACGCTTCCGTCAGCACCGCGTGATGTGGACGCGGCTGCATGTCCTTTTTCTGTATAGTAATTAATTAAGGTGTACAAATGAGGGTAGACGATGTGCGGTGTTCTCATGTACTCTGTGAGAATGGGAGATTAATACTGATTCGATTCGATTTGATTTGATTTGATTGATTAATTAATTTTGGGTTACGGAGGAGGAGGAGCCCTCTGTTCAGGGGGGAGGAATAGTTGTTCTTGTTGTTGCTTTTGTTGACATCGACACCGGACCACAGGCTTCTAAATTACATGCCGCTTCGCTTCGCTGCAACTGTAGCGATCTGTGATTTAGATTGGCTATAATTGTTTGTTTTTCCCCCCCACTGACTAATTTGGTATAAATGTAATTGTAGTACTGCTGCAGGAGTTCTCTTCTCATAGCCGATGACTCGTACGGGCCTGGATCAAGCTGCGATCCCTTTCTGAGGTGCAAATGACATTTATTTTGTAGTTCCGATTGCGATCAATCGCTAATAGGATTTGAAGTAGACGCCGCACCTAACTAAAATCACTAGATATTCGCCGGGTATTTCTAGCTCTCAAAATCTCCTTTTTAAAAAAAAGTTGATTTTGTTTCATTTAATTTAGTTTTTCTAGTAGAATTGTAAGTGCGTTTGATGCCTGAACCTCAGATCCTAACAAAGGTACTATTTGGCAACCAAAAAAAGTGTCTTATCTAAGAGCTTTTGTCTTATTGACTTGGTCAGTAAGCTAGTAGAGCTGTTTGGTAACAAAAAATAGGAGAAGATTATTTTGGAGATTGTGTCTTTTGCAAGTAGCTTTTGGAAAGCTATCTCAAGTAGCGTTTGTCTTTGGGAAAGAGCTGTCAATTTTTTTCTTCTGTTTTTGTCCCTAATAATTCTAATTTTATATCAATAATATTGCATGACCTTTTTAGTCATTTAACAAATTTAAGCTAGTTGTACAGCTTCTTTTGCCAAACAGCTCTAGTCAATCAACTAGCTATACAGCTATCAGCTTTTAGCTATAATTTCACAGCTTTCAGCTAGCTTGACAGCTTTCAGCTATAATCTCGCAGCTTTCAGCTAGTTTTGCCAAACAGAACCAAAGCCACAGCTGCTGTTGAGACGTCCCTATTTTGGGTCCTCCGATAACATTTCTTCACATCATTCGTTTGCTAGATATCCCTGGCCCTCTGTGAAATTAGAAAACGCAAAATTGCGCAGAATGATTTCTTTACCGATCTGAAAGAGACAAGAGCATTTGCTTTGGGGGATTCTCGTGAGATGAGCAGTAGAAAGGTGATGAGAAGTTCAATGGACCATTGCTCTTTTTTTTTTAGGTAGTGCATGTGAAATTTGTGCTTTGGTAGGAACTTGAGTGGTTATAGATGGTGTGTCTTTTCCCCTCCCTTTTCTGGTGGGATTATCGTAAATTTTTACATAGAAGACGAACCCAAACTCCAATGCGTTGCGTCTCCTCCTTTCATATACTACTTCTTTGTGACGTGGATGTTTTTACTCGTTCAGATCTTGAATTTTGTGTATGTTTACTAAGCATGTTGGATGGATTCTAATGGATTGAACAATTTGGCCGTTTGCTAACGGTGGAGGCTGTGTTTGGCATTATGTCATCAAAGTATTAAAAAAAGAA